TTGGTTCTTTTCTTGCAAACCCGGATAATGAAACATTTGCAAGAAAGGAATCAAGCTCAGAGAACCCCAAGGACTCCACAACTTTCAGCCACTGGGGCAAGACCTTAACAGCATCACTCGGTTGGCCTGGTGTTGAGATGTAGAATAGATATCACCAGCATATTGGTGATACCTGACCCTGTGTCAACAGATGACCTCCCCAAGCAGCTTCATGTACTATAGGAGGGATGAGAACATTGAGCCCTGGATCTCTCTGCAAGTCAGGGGCCTCCCCCTCCAGCCATACTAACTGGAAGCACTGTAGAGAAAGGAGGAGAGTCCCCCCTCAACACATGCCTTCCACTCCTAGTCCTCACAGTTGTTCTACAAGTAAGTATAATCAGTGGTCATGAAGGCTACTGAGAGGTCAAGGAGAACCTGGGCAGTTCTGCGCTTCAGCTGGTGGAAGCTTCAAGTCAGCCTTGGCTGATCTCAAAAGAAGCTACACATGGGGGACATGGGTGGGATTTCAGATTAAGTGGGAAATCAAGAAAACAACCTGCAGACACTTCTGTATTTCTGCCAGGAAATCTGTGATTGTATCTATAAAGCCACAGGAGTCAAGTTCACCTTGAGGGAGTCTTTCCCGTTTACACTTGTACCCGCTCAGCAGGTGCCCGGTTGGCCCAGCTCTACAATCTCACTGCAGCTTTGCGGTGAAGGGCGGTGTTGGGCCGGGTCCCCAGCGGCCGGGAAGCTGAGCAGAAAGGGTGCATCCCAGATCGCCCCAACCAAAGGCCTTCTCCCCTTTTCCTCCCTTGGGAGGGGGGAGGGGGCACCGCTGCTTGTGGGCTTGGCATCTGCCTTCCACTGCCCCTCTCACATGCCTCTCGGCTCACGGCTGGTGGGTTACGGCAAGCACCCACCTGGAGCAGAGGAAGGGACCGTTGGAGGCTCCACCATGGCTTCAGAGGCCTGGAAATTGGCCCAAGGCTCTGTCTCAGGCAGTGATCTGGGTGTGGGGCAGGTGTTCTTGGACAGCAACCTGCCCATCATCTGGAACTGGGGAATTAGCCAGTGGCTGGACTTTTGGCAGGATGGGGCTGTGCAGCCCAGGCAGCAAGGTTACCATTCGAAGGGGTGGCAGAAAGGTACATGTGGAAGGCCCAGCCGGGTCCCAGATGGGGAGAGGGCATCTCCCCTGCCCTGCCCTGCTGGAACCCTTCTGGAGCTGGACATGCAAGTGCCAGGCATTGGGCAAAGCACCCCCTACCTCCTGTCTCTACCCCCTGCCCTCCAGCGTGTAGACTGCAAATGTTCACCTCGTCCCTGGTCAGTGAGCTCTTCCCACCAACAGACAGCAGCCCAGCTGCATTTTGCTCCAGACTCAGAGGATTTCCCCTGCCTGGCCTGCCTGGCAAAGGGTGGGTAGCCCTGCACCCCTGGCAGCCCTGATCTGGGCCACAGCGCCCTTCTGAGGACATCCTACATCTGCTGCTGTTCAGAGTCTGCCTGTTCCTTACTGTGCACCCCTAACGCTAGTGTGTCCGCATATCACCAGAGACTCCTCCAGATGTCAGCCTGTAGAACAGGCTGCCACATGAAGCGGTGGGCTCTCTTTCGTTGGAGGTCTTCAAAGAGAGGCTAGTGGCTCCCCCCGAGCAGGGGTGGACCAGATGACCTCTACTGCCCTTTTAATTCTGTGACCCTGTTCCGAGGCAGCAACCCACCTTCAGGGAATTTGTAGTTATTGGTCACGTCCACCCGGTGGTTGCTGCCCACAGCTTTAGTGCTCAGGGCTCTGCCGATGGACGAGGTGTCGCAGTAGGCTTTCGTGCGTTTCCCGTTGCTTTGCACGACCCAGCGGTTGATGTCGGCGTTCACCTCGGTGTACACAAAAGCCGTGTCGTAGTTCAGCTTCACGTCCCCTTGCTTGACTGCCAGAACGGAGGCTGGCCCACACTGGAAGATCCCTGGAAGGAGGGACGTGGAGTTGCGCAATGGCTCTCGGCAGTTGCGGGGGGTCTTCCTGCGGGGCAGCCCACAAGGACTTACCTTGGCTTCTCTCTTGCGGGGTGGCGTCGATCACTTGCCAGCCGCTATAAGCCCCGCCCAGGTCCCTCCGGACAAACCAGCTTTCGTTCCAGACGTGGTAATCCCTGAAGGCAGGAAGGCAATGGGAGGCCCGGGCTGAGGCTGAGGTGTCCGTCCCCATCAGCTTCCGATGGCACTGGAGGCGCTACTCTCTGGCCCGCAGGAAGGGTTTCACCTGTGAGCCCCCCCCCTGGCTCCGAAGACCCACCCTCCAGAAGAGGCAGGCCTGTGGAACCACATCCCAGTGAGGGTGCTGGCTCTGGGTGCTCCAGCCCCCCCCGAAAGGGAGTTCGGGGTGGATGAGCGAGGCTTTGTC